TTTAAAAACTACACTAAGAGGGATCCCTGGGTGGCACAGTGGTTTGGCGCCTGCCTTTGGCCCAGGGCGCGATCCTGGAGACCCGGGATCGAATCCCACGTCGGGCTCCCGGTGCATGGAGCCTGCTTCTCCCTCTGCCTGTGTCTCTGCCTCTCTCTCTCTCTGTGTGTGACTATCATAAATAAAATAAAAAAAAAAATTAAAAAAAAAAAAGTACACAAAGAGAACTGGGAAGACGACAAACAAACATCAGCTATTCTCTAGAGTAGGGTGTGGGCCAGCTCGACAAGGAAAGGTGGAGCCCTCCTCCTTACAACACAAGGCCCTTAAACCTCGTCAATTCATTCCTATTACAATTCAGGCTTAAATAGGCTCTTTGTGGACTGAGGAATTAACCACCCTTCGTAACTGTTTCCAAAAATCTTTAGTTACAAACCACTGCTCATCAGTGCAGATTTCATTTTCATGTCTTAGAAAAAATATAGCTAGCCCATTATGACTGTGGCTTTTTTTTTTTTACCCAAAACATTTAATTTAACCATAACCTAAGCAGCTATACCTATGAGCTTTAACCCTAACATTAAACATGCAATGGATTAACAGAAAAAAGAATACAAAGCTATATGATAAAATAATTACAGTAAACGCTAACAAGAGCCATGTGATAGCATAGAGGTATTCACTACAAAATTCTTTTACCTTTGTTATGTATTTGAAAATATTCATGATAAAACATTAAGGTAAAAATATTCCCTGCCAGTACAGCAAATATCATTAAGACTACATATTGAATTATTAGGAAATACTAATTCAGAAAACAGTTTTCTAAGAAAAATGCAAACTAAGCTCCAAATATGTAATCTAAAAACTCATTAAACAAATTGTTTAGAAGTGGAATCTCTTACAGCACAAAATCATCACAAGGCACTAGGAAATGTGACCCTAGAAATATTTACTTACAATTTATAACACTTGGGGCTATCCCGGGTGTGAATTGAAAACCCTTCACTCAATCGAGTGTCAGAAGCAACGATTGAAAAATCTTCTCCAGCGATTGCCAATACAGTACTGAGGGAAAAATAAAGGAGACACAAAAATTAATGAATATTTGTGGATGGCAATAGCATCTCTCTCTAGAGAACAGTCCATAGTATATGTTGAGACAAAACCCAATAGCTTTGACCAAGAGTAGGGCTCAGATGAACAATCAAAGGGAAATGATTCCTGGCTACAAGTTGTCTGGGGGAAAAAATGTAAGTACTTCCTAAAAAACACAAGCCTAAATCAGAGCAAAGATCACTAGGCAGAAGGTAACCAGAAAAACCACTGAATTATCATATCATTATCAAAAATTAAATACCAACCTTGAGCAAGATACTGATATCACAAAACAGGGCCATAACCCCTGCCAAGGGGATCAGGTATAGACACCACAAATCAAGTTTTCTGTGCTCAAAGAAGGGTTTAATGTTTTTCAGGTCTTCATATCCAAGACCTTATCTACCACTCAGTAAACACCCAAATATCTTGGAAATGAACAAAGAACAAACCTTTTCTTTTGTGACTGTATAATTTATGCTGGGTTCTGTAAAGGTCTAAAGCATGAATTCCCAGAGTAGTTTACCCCGTTCTAATTCTGGATCTCTCACTCACCAGACAGGAGACCCTGGGTAAGCTGTTTAATTTCTCGAGGCCTCAATGTCTTCATATATAGATCAGAGATCCTAACAGTAACTACCCTCACTAGGATTTTGCAACAACTAAATGCACTAATAACTGTAAAGCCCTTTTACTTTGCCGAAGAACATAACTGATCCTGCAATGTAAGCTATGATCACGTGGTTTACACGTGAGAACCTGGGCTCAGGGGTTACTGGACCTGTCCTTGCCACTTCCTAGCTCTGTGACCACAAATAATCCACCTTCTCATTGCTGGTAATACCAGTCCCTGTGTTAAGAGGATGACTGACTGTTGAATGACACAAACCACAAAAGTACCTAGCACAGCACTAAGAAAGAAGTACTAAGAAATAGAATATAAGCACTAAGAAAACATTATCCATTATTTTTACTAAGGTAGGACGTGCACTAAAGCTCTGAACTACAAAAGGATGGCATTCCAAATATGGACAATGGATAAAGAGAGTCAGGTAATGATCAAAATAATACAAACAACTTATTAGGGTGTTTCTTTGTGTGTAAGCTAGTGGAGGAACATAAAGCTTATGCAGTGGACAGGGGTCTGACCTCAGAAAATCCCACACTAAAGACTGTGAAATGAGATCAGCTCCATATACACACACAGTAGAGTTTTAAGAAGACTGCCGTGACAATAACACACAGTATGGGAAATGGCATCAAAGCACTGTTCCAAAAAGATTAATGCAGCAGTGAGGTAGCGGGGTGAACTGGAAGAAGCCGGGATACCGGGGGAACATGAACGCACGAATCGTGCAAGTCTTCGTCACTACCAAAAGTGGCAGAAGCAGGAAGAGCCAACCGTGATGTCCAGGATTTCACACCTGGTTGGGTAGCGTGATGGATAATTCTGAGCGCCAAGAAGGAAAGATGACTGAGGATCAGCTTGACTTTTGTTCTAGTACCTCGAGTTACGGGGACAGCAGAAAATCCAGGTAGAAATGTTTCATTTAAGAAGCTGGAAAAGAGGGACTGGGGAGAGGTAAACCTGGAGAAACACATTCGGGAATCATCCTACCCCGAAGGAGACGTGAGGATGTTAATGGGGTTTAGCTACATTTAAAAGAGACAGAGTAGAAGATAGGGAACCGAGCCTTGTTTTGCAGAGACAAAGGCTGCCCGAGAGCCGGCAGCAATAGGCGCTAGAGAAAAGGGAGAAAAGACTGGAAAAAAGTGACTTGATGATCACAGGATCGTAAGCTGGATCGCAAGGAGCTGGAGCGGCAGGTACGGAGTCCCCAGCGCCCCGCAGCACCCCGCAGCCTCCTGCTTTGCAACCGCCTCACGATGGGCCAGCAGCCCGCCCGGGACGCGGCATCAGAACCCGCGCCCCGGCTCAGCCTCCAGCTGCCGTGCCCGGAGCGGCCCAACCTCTAAGAGCCCCGGCCCGTCCGTGAAAACGGAGCGAATGCCATCTAGCCGTCGTTCTGGGAATTAAAAAAGAGAGAGGGAGAGAGGGAGAGAGGGAGAGAGAAACTGCTTACATGGTTACATGGTAGGGAACGCGTCCCTACGGGTTCCCCGTCTACACCGTGAGAGCCGGGGGCACCGACCGCTCGGCCCCCCCGAACCCCGGCGCCGCCCCGCCCAGCCCCCGCCGCCCTCCCGGCAGAGCCCCGGCTCCCACGCCGACCCCCGCGCCGAGCGGCCCAGGCGCTCCGGGGCTCACCCTCCGTTGAAGGCGTAGGGCGAGAAGCGCAGCTGCAGGGGGCCCGCGGCGCCGTCGGGCTCCATCGCCAGGTCTCGGCCGGGTCCCCAGCCCCGCGCGGCGGTCGACAGCATCGCGGCGGCGGCGGCGGCGGCTGCTGTCTCACGGCGAGATGGCGCCGGCCGGAAGTCCTCGCGCTTCCGGCTTCCGGCTTCCGGCGGCGCGCCTTCCGGCCGCTGTATCTCGCGCCTGTCGTTGCTCCTCTGGGTAGCCGGGCGCCCCCTATTCCGAGGAGGCCGACTCATTGTTTTTTCTAAGGAAGGTTTTTCTTTCCTGAAGAAACGTTCGAATTCACGCCTGATGGACAATTTAAAGTCTGACCACACACAAAACAATTGACGTGGATGGACCAGGATGGACCGGGATGGACCGTGGATGGACCGAGATGGACCGTGATGGTCCATGAGTGGATTGTGGATAAACCCTGGATGGACCTAGATGGACCAGGATGGACCTGGATGGACCGTGGATGGACCGGATGGAACTGGATGGACCGTGGATGGACCAGGATGGACCGAGATGGACCGTGGATGGACCTGGATGGACCGTGGATGGACCGGATGGAACTGGATGGACCGTGGATGGACCAGGATGGACCGAGATGGACCGTGGATGGACCTGGATGGACCGTGGATGGACCAGGATGGACCAGGATGGACCTGGATGGACTGTGGATGCATTGGGATGGACCTGGATAGACCAGGATGGACCTGGATGGATCGTGGATGGACCGGGATGGACCAGGATGGACCTGGATGGACCATGATGGTCCATGAGTGGATTGTGGATAAACCCTGGATGGACCTAGATGGACCTGGATGGACCGTGGATGGACCTGGATGGACCGTGGATGGACCTGGATGGACCAGGATGGACCGGGGTGGACCGGGATGGACCAGGATGGACCTGAATGGACCAGGATGGACCTGAATGGACCGGGATGGACCTGGATGGACCGTGGTTGGACCGGGATGGACCGGGATGGACCGTGGATAGACCGTGATGGACCAGGATGGACCTGGATGGACCGAGATGGACCGTGATGGTCCACGAGTGGATTGTGGATAAACCCTGGATGGACCTAGATGGACCCTGGATGGACCGTGGATAGACCATGATGTATCCGGATGGACCGTGAATGGACTGTAGATAGACCCTGATGGGCCATGGATGGACCGTGACCATCCGTGGATGGACTATGATGGATCGTGAGTGGACCTTGGCCATACCATGGATGGACTGCGGCCCGACCCTGAGTGGACCATGGCTGGGCCGTAAGTGGACCGTGGATGGACCCTGAAGGACTGTGATGGACCCTGGATGGACTGTGGGAGGGAGATTTCTTCATGTTTCACCATCTTTTAATCTCCATATGTTGTTTATGCACTTCCTTATAGAAATATAATTTTAGGAGCATAAAAATATCATCTCAAAAAACAGGCAAACAAGCAATTGGCTCCTATAGGATGGACCACCCGATAACATGTGTGTGATTTGGGGACCAGAAAAGATTTTTTTTTTTTTTTCAGAAAAGATTTTTGATAAGTACTTGTTTTAACAGTTTCCCCATGTTTTACTGGAAACAAAGGATAAAACAGGATTTTCTTTATTGGTTATGGACAGAAAATTATTATACTTATTCAGATTCTGTCCTGAATACAAATGGGTATGAAACATTCTTTATCCCTAAGGAGTTCACCACCTTACTGATTTATAAAATAGAGTTGACCCTTGAACAACACAGGTTTGAACTGCACAGGTCCACTTACATACAGATTTTTTTCCCAATAAATACAGTACTGTAAATGTATTTTCTCTTATAATTTTTTCCACCTCAATGATAATACAGCATATAATACATATAACATACACAATATGTGTCAATCAACTGTTCACGATATCAGCAAAGCTTCCAGTCAACAAAAGGCTGAATGGAATCAAAGGTTCTACGTGGATTTTCATCTCTGGGGAGGTTCGAGTTTCTAACCCCTGCATGGTTCAAGGGCTAACACTACAAAGGAAGTGGATTACTGTACAATATATGAATGTGCTTATATGGACCGTAGGGGAGACGGAGATACCCTGGGGTCCCACGCATGAGGACGTGAACAGACTAAGAAAAAACTACTGATACCCTTGAAGCCACCTTGGCTCCCCCGGCCCACCTGGTAGCCCTTACGCTTCGGCAAGCGGCCTTAGCCCACATGAGTAGCCTTTCTGCGTGTATCTGTGCCCCGTGCACGCTTTCCTGGGAGGAGCAGAGCACCTCCGACGGCAGGAAACAAACCAGACTCTCTTGCACAAGTCTGGCCCCTAAGGAACCAGACCCCTGTCCAATCCCGAGCACTGTGATGACGCTGCAGGCGGCACCAGGAGTCCGCACCGCACCAAGGAGTTAGGGACCGCTGCACTCCGACTCCTTGGCTGCCCTAAACTCCCTTGGGAGCCCGGGGCCAGGCAGAAACCCTGGAGGTGGCCTCCGGACCGGAGTCGGCCTCCTGCTGAAGCTCCCGTTCCGTTCCAGTGTCTCTGCAGTATCGGCTTTCCCAGGGAGGGGCGGCCCAGCTTGGGGTTCCGTCCTAGTCTGCGGCACGGGCGAGAAGAGAAGGTCGCGGCACAAGCCCAGCGGACCGCAGTCCTAAGCCAGGCTGCTTTCCTCCTATCTTCGTGTCTGGGGCTCTCAGGCCCCGAGGGCGTCCCACGTGCCGGGCTCCTCACCAATCTCGCAGCTTCTCCGAGGGCTCCTGCCATTCGCGTTCCATTCTCCCAGCGGAGGCGGGGAGCCCGGGGAGCTCGCCGAAAGTCACACGGCTGGACGGTTTAAAAAGTTAACGTTTGAACATCCCGATCTTGCCTCCCCGCAGCAGGGACCAATTGGGAAGAGCCCCGGCCGGGGCCTCCGCCGGCGCCTCCTCGCCCTTCCGCCCGGCGCTCGGGCGAACAGCGGAAGTGCCCGGGCGCCAACACTTCCCATGGCCGCCGCTCCGGCGTCCGTAGCCTGCTGAAGCCGAGGGCGGTCCTGGCGGAAGTGACATGATCAGCTCGCGCCCGGAGATCAGTAGGGTCGGAAAGGGTCGCCGTGGCGGGCGCCTGGGCCGCCTGCGGCCGAACTTCGGTTTCGCGAGCGCGCGGGGGACCGTGCGGGGACCGCAGGTAACAGCCGCGGTCGCCTTCCCGTCGTCCGAGCGCCGGCGCGGAGGCGAGGCCTGCGGCGCGGCCGTGGGGCGATGGCGGGGCGCCGAGGGGCGCGCAGGCCGCGGGGGGACGCGGCTCCTGCGCTCGTGCAGCGCCGCTCGGGCCGGTACGCGCCGCCCGCGTCGGCCGAGCTGGGGAGCCGCCCTGCCCGGGCGCGGGGCCGCCCCTCCGCCCCTCCGGCCCCTCCGGCTGCCCTGCCCGGCCCGCCGCACCGCGTCCTCCTGGGGTTCCCCGAGCGGGACTGCGGCGCGGGAGCCTCCGCTCGCCGTTTACCGCGGGCGCCGGGGGGGGGGGGGAGCAGGGGCCGCGCGGGGCTCACGGCTCCGTCCCTGGGCGCCCGACGTGGAGCAGCCCCCTCTGCGGGGCTCGTCTGGGCGCGGCCTGCCTGTGGGCTCCGCCGTCTTAAGGGGGCCCGCGGGGAGGGGCGGGGAGGGGCGGGCCGCGCAGCCCCCAGCTTCCGGGCAGTCTCCCGTACTGAGCGCTCCCAACCCCGCCCCCTTCCTTGTCGCCGCGGCCGGGGCGGCCCCTGGCTCCTCGCTCGCGGTCGCCGCTCCCGGGCCGCAGGGCCGTGCTCCGCGGCTCTCCGCCTCCGGGACCGGAGCCCCCCGTGTGTCCCCGCTGCCCTGCCAGCCGCGGCGGGGGCTGCGCCGTCCTCCTCCGCCGCTCCCCGGGGCCGCCGCGCTGCGGGATCCGGATCCGCGCCCCCGGCACAGCGAACTCGGGTGCGAATGGCCTTGCTCTCACCGATTTCGTGGTGTCAGCACTTCTCTTATTACAGGAAGACACTTTTAAAAATACACTTTTCTTATATCTGACGTTTTCTGAAGCAGAGTGTTCTTTCTTCCTTTTTTGGCCTTTTTCAGTGGCGAGTATGTAGGGTGCGTAGTGTTTGGGTCCCTTGTCCTCCCAAAGCGACTGTCCGGTTCTCTCCTTCGTCCGACAAACGTCTGAGTGCTTGCTTTGTGCAAGCTGGAAGGCCCTGCGTGCCTTTCGTGTCAGCTTGTCACTCTGAGACCGGCAGGCTCTGTAAGTGACAGTACCTTAGTAGATAATGTTTACGCTGAAATCTAACGGGAGCTAACATTTATCCTGTGTTTACTAGGTGATAACTAGATTTTGTCCTTGATGTGTTAATCAGCCAGTCCCGTTTGATCCAGTTCTCACAGAACCCTCAGCAAGTTAAGGATCCATCGGAACTAAACTCAAAACGGTCTTCCAGTAGTCACTTGGTTCTTTAGTCTAAAAGAAATAAAAAAATATGTAGCCAGTAAAGAGACGAGCTAATAAGGAAAGCTAGATAAAGTACAGTTCGTGTTTATGTGTTCTAAAGAAATCAACTTATTACATGTATAAAAACGTGCTATTTATTTTTGGGTCTGTACAGCTTCTGTGTTCTATTAAATCAGATTATCAGGGACACCTGGGTGGCTCAGCCGTTGAGTGTCTGCATTAGGCTCAGGGCATGATCCCAGGATCCAGGATCGACTTCCACATCAGGCTCCTTGCAAGGAGCCTGCTTCTCCCTCTGCCTGTGTCTCTCTCTCTCTCTCTGTCCGTCTCTCATAACTAATATTATTTATTTATTTATTTATTTATTTGTATGTATGTATGTATGTATGTAGGCAGGCCCCACTGGGATACAAACCAAATAAAATCTTAAAAAAAATAAATCAGAAGATCAGTAAATGATCACACTAAAGTGTATTGGATCCAATTCAGTATTTATTGAACTTATACCCAAGATGTTGTGGAGGATACAAAATATCAAATAGCACTGTGTATACTGTGCTCAATCAATATTTCTGCTCAGATATAAGCTTGCTTAGGAATTTGTTTTCTCTGAGTGTTTTTCCCCAAAAGTTGTTGTTTTTTTTTTTTTTAAGATTTTATTTATTCGTGAGAGACACAGAGAGAGCAAGGCAGAGACACAGGCAGAGGGAGAAGCAGGCTCCCTGCAGGGAGCCTGATGTGGGGCTTGATTCCCGGACCCCGGGGTCACGCCCTGAGCCGAGCCGAAGGCAGATGCTCAACCGCTGAGCCACCCAGGTGCCCCTCCCCAAAAGTTTTTAATTTTGATTATGACACCTTAATTTTGAACATTCTTAAGAGTTTTTAAATCAAACATGTAATAAAGTAGTTTTTGTTCTATTGACAGTTTTACATGCAGTCACAGTACACACGGAAAGAATAGCATTTCAGCATTATAAGGTTAAAAGAAATATATTCCAAAATAGTTTCATTGTTTTTTTTTTCTAATTTGTGTGTTATCATGAAACTGGTTTATAAAACTCTACAGCTTGCCCGTATTTTTACACTAAACTTCAAATTTTTTCAAAGCAGATTACTGTTTCTTGGTGTGCATGAGGATAACGCAAGCAGTTGAGGAAATCGCTAAGAAGCGTGTACTGGGGATGCTCTAGGAAAAGACTGAATGCCGAGGCAAGTTCCCGTCCAAAGGTATTTGATTTACCAAGAAGAGAGTGAACATCATGGATCAGAACAACAGCTTGCCGCCTTATGCTCAGGGCCTGGCCTCCCCTCAGGTAATACAGCTGGATGGAGGGCATAGATGGGAATCTGCATTGCTAGAGGTTGTAAAAAGGAAGCAAGGGGATTTAACCACGCATTGTTGAAAATGGATGTATATGTTTTTAAGCTTCTATTTTGTTGAGAAGTTCTATTAGACTTTGGTAGGCATGATAGTGTTAAATTTAGGGAGTTTATTTGGAAGTTAAAATATGTATCTGTTTATAATCTTACTCTTTCCATAAACATTTATGAAAGTGCTCCAGGTGATTATCGGGTCGTTGATTCTGAGAGTAAATCTCACCAAATTATTATTATTATTTTAATATTTTATTTATTTATTCATGAGAGACACACAGAGAGAGGCAGAGGGAGAAGCAGGCTCCATGTAGGGAGCCCGATGCAGGACTCGATCTCAGGTCTCCAGGATCATGCCCTGGGCTGAAGGCAGGTGCTCAACCACTGAGCCACCCAGGCATCACTTATTTTCTGGTTTTATCCTTTCTCTTTTACGTTTAAGGAGAAAACATATCTACTTATATTTTTTAAGATTTAATTGATTTTTTTGAGAGAGAGAGATAGAGGAGAGAGTGAGAGGAGGAAGAGAAAGAGAATCTTCCACAGAGTCTGCACTGAGTGCAGAGGCCGACATGGGGCTGGATCCTACGAAGCAAGAATTGGATGCTCAACTGGCTCACTCCCCCAGGCTCCCCAAAAGGTTTTTAAAAAGAAAAGTAGATATATTATTTGCAGGGCACCTAGGTGGCTTAGTCGGTTGGGTGTCTGACTCTTGGTTTTGGCTCAGGTCATGATCTCACTGGTTGTGGGATCAAGCCCTGTGTCAGCCTTTGCCCTCAGCTAGAAGTCTGCTTGGGATTCTCTCTCCCTCTCCCTCCGCCTCTCCCACTTGTATGTGCACGTGCACTCTCTGTCTCTTTAATGAATAAATTTTAAAAATTCTTAATCTATAAGTCAATCAGAGAAAGACAATTATATAATTTCACTCATATGAAATTTAAGAAACAAAGCAGGAGGTTATAGGGGAAGGGAGGGAAACAAAATCAGGAAGACAAACTAAAAGAGACTCATAACTCTAGGAAACTGAGGGTCACTGGAGGAGAGGTGGGTGAGGGATGGGGTAACTGGGGGATGGGCATTGGGGAGGGCACTTGATGTAATAGCACTGGGTGATAAATGCAACTGATGAATCACTGGCCTCTACCTCTGAAACGTAATACACTGTATGTTAATTAATTGAATTTAAATTAAAAAATGTAAAAAAAAAAAAAGAAAATATTTAACCTTTAGATAAAATTTTCATAGAATAAAAACACCCCTTTTAAGTGTGTTGATAATTATATATACTTGTGTATACAATTGATCTGCTGATCCTTAGCTAAAGATAGTTTTGCCTAGCCTAGAGTTTCATACAAATGGAATTATATCAGTATGTGGTTTTTTGTGTGTGTCTGTGTTTTTTGCCCAATTTAACACTTGTATGTCCACAGATGCCTTTTTATTGTCAGGTAATGCTCCTTTGTGTGGCTGTATCACATTTTGTGTATCCATACATTAGGGGGAGTTTCTAGGTCAGGGCTGTTATGAATAAAGTTGCTGTAAACATTTGTGAACAGGCTGTGTGTCTACTGTTTCTGTCTCTCTTGGGCGAATACCTAGGAGAGGGATTGCTAGGCCATATGGTTAAGTATACGTTTCACTCTGAGAAATTGTTGAACCATGTTCTAGTTCTGCCAGCAGCATGTGAGAGTTTTGGTTGTTCCACATCCTCACTGATACTTGAGGTTTTAAATTTTAGCTATTCTAGTTGTTGCTTAAGTTGTTGCTTAATAGTATTTGTGATTTGAATTGGCATTTTCCTGATGACTAATGATTTTGAGCATCTTGTTAAGTGCTTTTTGGCCAGTTGCTTGTCTTCATTTGTAGAATGTCCTTGGCATCCTTTGCCCATTTGTTTGTTGGCTTATTTGTCTTTTATTGTATTATAGTTGCTTTCATATATTATGGATACAGGTGCTTTCTCAGGTGTAGGTATTATATATGTTTTCTCTCAGTCTGTGGTGTGGCTTCCTTTATAATTTCCTTAATGGTGTCTTTCAAAGAGTAGAAGCTCTTACTTTTTTCTGAAGTCCATTTATCAGTTTACTTCATGATTAGTGCTTTGGTATCTTAAGAAATCTTGTCTTACCCGAAGTCTTAAGGATTTTCTCAACATAGTTTTATCTTTTACACGTATGTCTGTGATCCATTTTGAGTTCATCTGTTTATGTGACATAAAGAAAGTAAGACCTTTTACTTTTTCGGGATCCCTGGGTGGCGCAGCGGTTTGGCACCTGCCTTTGGTCCAGGGCGCGATCCTGGAGACCTGGGATCAAATCCCACGTTGGGTTCCCGATGCATGGAGCCTACTTCTCCCTCTGCCTCTCTCTCTCTCTCCCTGTGTGACTATCATAAATAAATAAAAAAAAAAGGGATCCCTGGGTGGCGCAGTGGTTTAGCGCCTGCCTTTGGCCCAGGGCGCGATCCTGGAGACCCGGGATCGAATCCCACGTCGGGCTCCCAGTGCATGGAGCCTGCTTCTCCCTCTGCCTGTGTCTCTGCCCCTCTCTCTTTCTCTCTCTCTCTCTCTGTGTGACTATCATAAATAAATACAATATATATATATATAAAATAATAATAAATAAATAAATAAAAATTTAAAAAAAAACAAACAAACCTTACTTTTTCAAAGTAATGTGACCTGAATGTCTATAGAGTGTTAGATGCCATAGACTAACTCCTATACAGTTAGGGCTGTGGTATACATTTGCTCCTCCTCCTCTCACATTCTTCCTGCCATCATGTTGGTGAAACAATTTAACAGAAATTCCTTAGACAGTTTTGGTTTATGCTTTCTGTCAAATAATGTGGTAGAAGTGGGAAGGGATTGTGGCTCTCTTTTGGATCTTGCACCCATTTGAGGATCTACTGGACACTGTGGATTCTTTCAGGCAGAAATATTGGGTGTAATTTTAAGAGGTTCACAAAACCACTGCAAGCTCTGCAGGCTCCACGAGCTCCATGGATTTTGTTGTTGAGTGAGGGCAGTGGACTGGGTGTCCAGAAAACTTAGCCGTTGATCATGGCTTCTCTACTAGTGAGATCTGTGGTCTTAGGGAAGTCATTTAGCTTCTCCTGGTGTCAGTTTTCTTGTCCTTAATGTGAGAAGAACAGCATCTCTTTTTCCTTCTTCCAAAGGGCTGTTTTGAGACTCGTAAGTTAGTAAATGTAACAGTGTCTGGAAAAGTTAAGTATTTGGAGAAGTAAATTGAGACTGTTCTGATAGATGCATTGGATTTTCTTGATTTAAACTTTTTGGAGAGGGATCCCTGGGTGGCGCAGCGGTTTGGCGCCTGCCTTTGGCCCAGGGCGCGATCCTGGAGACCCGGGATCGAATCCCACATCGGGCTCCCGGTGCATGGAGCCTGCTTCTCCCTCTGCCTATGTCTCTGCCTCTCTCTCTTTCTCTCTCTGTGACTATCATAAATGAATAAAAAAATTTAAAAAAAAAATTAAAAAAAAATAAACTTTTTGGAGAGCAAATGATCCACCTTTTTGAATAGTATTCTCACAATTGTCGTTATTGTTGTTAACACGGAGTGTTTTCCATGTGCTTGTCATTGCGTTGAATGAGTTAAGTGGCATCTCTAGGGTAAGCATGTGATTTATCAGCCAACCTTGGACAGATAATAGTCACTGAGAGTGAATGGGCTGTATGCTAGGGTAGTAGTTTAAACATCGATGGGCAGTCACTCCAGTTATTTCCTTTATTCTTTCTAACAGTATTAGAACATTATTACTAACACTATTATTAGGGCTAAGCAACTTCCTCGAGTTTTCACATGCAGTAAGTAGCAGGGTTGGATTGCACACCCAGGTATAATCCCAAATACTAAGCTCTTACCTACCATGCCATGGTGAAGAAGAAAGTGGTATGTATAAGAACAGAAGATGCATTTCTGTTAAGGCATCATAACCCTTTATATTCAGAAGGCATCTGTCCTTATACGCCTCTTCTATCACACAGGTGCAGGAATCACCCCATACCAGCTGGCCTGACTTACTGTTCTCCTGACTTTCCGCAGGGTGCCATGACTCCTGGAATCCCTATCTTCAGTCCAATGATGCCTTATGGCACAGGACTGACTCCACAGCCTATCCAGAACACCAACAGCCTTTCTCTCCTGGAGGAGCAGCAGAGACAACAGCAGCAGCAGCAGCAGGCCCAGCAGCAGCAGGCCCAGCAGCAGCAGCAGCAGCAGCAGCAGGCCCAGCAGCAGGCTGTGACAGCAGTGCAGCAGTCGACATCCCAGCAGGCGACCCAGGGGGCCTCGGGCCAGACACCACAGCTCTTCCACTCACAGACTCTTACCACTGCACCCTTGCCGGGCACCACTCCCCTCTATCCCTCCCCCATGACCCCCATGACCCCTATTACCCCTGCCACACCAGCCTCTGAGAGCTCTGGGATCGTGCCGCAGCTACAGTGAGTACTTTGTGTTGTGTCTTCTCCCTCATCCTGGAAGTGTCCTTTGGACTGGGTGCTGCTGTTCTTTGTTTTCAACTGGATTGATTTATTTAAGGATTTGATACTATTAAGGATAGTAGTCATCATATATCAAGTATATATGTTTTCTCTCTCACTTTTACATGAGAAAGGGATGCTAAGCTGCCTTAGTGAGTCAGTCCCTTCAGTAAAAGGCTCGCATAACATCTTCAGACCTGGTATCTCATGTTTATAATCCTGGGCCAAATATATAAACACAAGCTACCAAATTGTTTTTATAGACATTTCCCTCTAGCTGATTTGCTGAACCAAGCATTTTGTAGTCTCCCTCCCTTGTGATGTTTTCAGTCTTTGGGAAGGGAAGATTAGTTACTTAGTCTTAGTTCATGGTGGTCCTTGTTTGTCTTCATTGGTTATTATGAGGGCTATATGTAACTTTGAAGAGCTCTGTCCTTTCCACAAGCTGAGGATGTCCTTGTCCTAAATGGATTTTTCTACATAAATGAAATGGGTGCAGAGTCGATAGGGGTAGGAGAAAAATTCTTGAAAAAATACAAATATTCTCACATATGTGTCAATGAGAAGCCAGCCCACAGGAGGAAAAAGCAAGGCTTACAGAAGGATGGTCTTTTAGGCAGAAGCAGCACTAAAAGCACCATGAATCAAGGGGAGTGGGAAAATATCCCAATAAACCAGATTTTGGATACAACAACAACAACAAAAAAACAACAAACAAAATGAAAACAAACCCTAACTCAAGATAGATAAAAGACTTAAGTGTAAGATCCAAAGGAAAAGTCAGTGAAGAAAATATAGGACAAAAGCTTCACGACATTGAACTTGGCAATGTTTTCTTGGATGTGACACCAAAGACACAGGTGACAAAAGAAAATGCAGATAACCTGAACTACGTGAAAATTTTTATCAAGACACTGTTCACAGAGTAAAAATGCAACCCACAAGATGGAAGAAAATGGTTGTAAGTCATGTATCCAATAAAGGCTTATTATCTAGATATTTAGAGAACTACTAAAACCCAACAACAAAAAACAAAGAGCCTGATTCCAAAATGGACAAAGGACTTGAATAGACATTTCTCCAGGGAAAATATGCAAATGGCCAATAACCACATGAAAGGATGCTCGACATCACTACACATGTAAATGCAGATCAAAACTACAATGAGATACCACCTCATACTCATCAGGACAGCTGCCAAAAGCAGAATATAACAAGTTTTGGGGATACAGAGAAGTTTGAACCCTATGTACTGTTTGTTTAAAAAAAAAAAAGGAAAAATGAGTATGCGTAGCAATTGTATGACTAAATTTGTGGTAGATGCACCACAACTTGATTCAGTTTGTAAGTAAAGAAATGCTAAAGGCAAGTGTGTATATAAAATTGATTGAAAAGAAACAGTTTTTTTGTTGTTTTTTTTTAAGATTTTATTTATTCATGAGAGAGAGAGAGAGAGAGGGAGAGGCAGAGACACAGGCAGAGGGAGAAGCAGGCTCCATGCCGGGAGCCCGACATGGGACTCAATCCGGGGACTCCAGGATCACGCCCTGGGTGGAAGGCAGGTGCTAAACCGCTGAGCCACCCAGAGATACCTGGAAGGAAACAGTTGATGTAGAAATGAAAACAGTCATTGGGTTGATCATTCTAATTGGCCTTACAATTGTATATTAAAGTATACAGCTATCTTCTTTCTTAGCCAACCAAATTGTGAGCCATCAAGTTTTCAAAGTATTGCATTTTGACAGGATGGGAAAGAACCAAAAGCAGCAGTGAGCTAGAAACAATTGGAGATGTGTTCGCAATTTGGAATCAGCATTCACAGAACAGGGTTGTTCCATGCTCATGCATGATGGTTTATGGGCAGTCAGTTTCATTCAAAGGGCTAAGGCATGGCTCTGGGGATAGATGGGGATAGATGGATGCAAACACTGACTACCACTTTGGAACCATGATTACCTGGAGCAAGGTAACTGCCCCATTTAAGCCTCAGCCTCTTCATCTGAAAGTGTGAATATTAATAGTTATTACTTCCTAGTGCATTGTAAGTATTAAGTAGGATAACCTATGTGAAATGCTCACAAGGGTGTGTACTAAACGTGTAATAAATGTCAACAATTTTTAAAAATTTAAAATTTAAATTAGTTTAAATTAAACCAATGTAAACAAATTTGTTCTAGTAAAAGAATCAGATTTCTAGATAATTTCAAACATCTCAACCTGTAAAAGTTAAATAAATAATCATGTTTTCTTTTCAAATTTTTTGCAGAAATATTGTATCTACAGTGAATCTTGGCTGTAAGCTTGACCTAAAGACCATTGCACTTCGTGCCCGAAATGCTGAATATAATCCCAAGGTCAGAGCAATTATAATGTATTTCAAACTATAATAATACAGGAATTTACTGGTAAAGGTCCTTAGAACAAAATGTTTGCGTCATGCTTAGGTTTGTTGATGCCAGCAAAATTTGTATCTTTTTTTTTATTGAGTAGCTACCATATGAGAGACCCTAGAGTCAGGGCGGTCTGCATGCCATAAACTAAAATTTATTTGCCCGTTGTGATGGGATCCTGTGACATTAAAGAACAGAATATATGGTATGATTCCGTTAATGTTTTTAAATCTATATAGAATGGAATGATATACTATCTGGATTTTACTTCAGAATAACCCAGTTGGAGATTTGGGGAAGGGTACTTGGGTGAAACAGGATTGGCCAGAAGTTAATAATAAATAATGAATCTCTTTTTGGAAACTTGGGCTGTTTTAGCATTGGCCCTTTTAACAAAGAAAAGCTTAATCAACAGAACTACGTATATGCTGTTATTAAGCACATCTAGATTTTGGTTTGGCTACTTCTAGATCACATCTAAGTAAGAATTCAGCGTCTTGCTTCTATTGTAGTTTTTCTTGGCTTATGAAGTAGCCTTTTGAACTTCTCAAGTTAAATATCCTCACCAATATTCTTTTTTTCTTTTTTCTTTTTGTTTTTTTATAAATTTATTTTTTATTGGTGTTCAATTTGCCAACATATAGAATAACACCCAGTGTTCATCCCGTCAAGTGCCCCCCTCAGTGCCCGTCATCCAGTCACCCCCACCCCCCGCCCACCTCCCCTTCCACCGACCCTAGTTCGTTTCCCAGAGTTAGGAGTCTTTCATGGTCTGTCTCCCTTTCTGATATTTCCCACTCATTTTTTCTCCTTTCCCCTTTATTCCCTTTCACTAATTTTTATATTCCCCAAATGAATGAGACCATATAATGTTTGTCCTTCTCCGATTGACTTACTTCACTCAGCATCATACCCTCCAGGTCCATCCACGTCGAAGCAAATGGTGGGTATTTGTTGTTTCTAATGGCTGAGGAATATTCCACTGTATACATAGACCACAGCTTCTTTTTTTTTTAATAATAAATTTATTTTTTATTGGTGTTCAATTTGCCAACATACAAAATAACATCCAGTGCTCATCCCGTCAAGTGCCCCACTCAGTGCCCGTCACCCATTCACCTCCACCCCCCGCCCTCCTCCCCTTCCACCACCCTTAGTTCGTTTCCCAGAGTTAGGAGTCTTTTTGTTTTGTCTCCCTTTCTGATATTTCCTACCCATTTCTTCTCCCTTCCCTTCTATTCCTTTTCACTATTTTTTATATTCCCCAAATGAATGAGAACATATAATGTTTGTCCTTCTCCAATTGACTTATTTCACTCAGCATAATATCCTCCAGTTCCATCCACATCGAAGCAAATCGTGGGTATTTGTCGTTTCTAATGGCTGAGGAATATTCCATTGTGTACATAGACCACATCTTCTTTATCCATCATCTTTTGATGGACACCGAGGCTCCTTCCACAGTTTGGCTATTGTGGACATTGCTGCTTGAAACATCGGGGTGCAGGTGTCCCGGCGTCTCACTGCATCTGTATCTTTGGGGTAAATCCCCAGCAGTGCAATTGCTGGGTCATAGGGTAGCTCTATTTTTAACTCTTTGAGGAACCTCCACACAGTTTTCCAGAGTGGCTGCACCAGGTCACACTCCTACCCACAGTGTAAGAGGGTTCCCCTTTCTCCACATCCTCTCCAACATTTGTGGTTTCCTGCCTTGTTAATGTTCCCCATTCTCACTGGGGTGAGGTGGGATCTCATTGTGGTTTGGATTTGTATTTCCCTGATGGCCAGTGATGCGGAGCATTTCCTCATGTGCTTGTTGGCCATGTCTGTGTCTTCCTCTGTCCTCACCAATATTCTTGTGAAGTTTGAATCTATGTACATATTTGTGTGTGTGTGTGTGTCTCTCTCTCTCTCTTTTTTTTTTTTTGCTGGCCTTTTGTTTATACTCAACGTGTATATGCACATGCCTGAGTATTAAAATTTGAAGATGATTTTGAGTGACACCAAGCCACTTTGAGATATTAAATAAAAGCAAGAGAAAGACAATGACTAAGTTTCTTCCTTCCTCCTCAGCCTGAAAACTATATCATTGTATTGTTAGTGGCACCTAAACCTAGTAAGAGCTGCTGTTTACGTGAGTTAGTGAAGCCATTTTCCCTAGAGTAGGCTGTAATCTTACAATTAATATTTTCTTCAGAAGTATGATTTCTCTAATAAGTCACTATGTTTAATGTTTTGGAGATATCCAAAGAAGATAGAAAATTCTTTTATTTTCCTCGTAACATAAATCCAGATTTTATTGACTATTAATATTTACTCATGAACCTCTACTAGTAAGATAGCAATTTTAGTAGATAATGAGCTGTTGTAATAATATTTTATAACAATATTTAGAAGTGGGGCACCTGGGTGGTTCAGTCAGTTAATCATCTGCCTTCAGCTTAGGTAGTGATCCTGGCCGGGATCCTGGGATCAAGCCCCACGTTGGGGTTCCCTGTTCAGCAGGGAGTCTGCTCCTCCCTCTCCATCTGCCCCTTCCCCCCACTTGTGCTCTCTCTCTCATTTGCTTTCTCTCTTTTAAGTATATAAATAAAACCTTAAAACAATATTTAGATGTTATATCAACATAAAGTATACCTTGATTATGTTAAATTTATGAATCATTATTGAATGACTCATTCTAGGATGTATCAGCAATACAGAATGAGGCAGGTTCAGATGTATTTTGATAGTTTATTAAAATTATTTTTTTTAAGGGGGAGCAGTAAAGTAGTTGGGTTTAGATTGGAGCAGTATTTAACAGTCACACAGGAAGCAAAGTACTATGATAGATGTGTAGGGGTATGTTTAGCAGCTATAGCTGATAGCTAAGTTGGATAAATAAATGTTAGCTGTGCATTGAGAAAATTGTTAAGTAATGGTCTTGGAGCAAGTTTCTAGCTCTCTAAAGCGTAACCTGTCTTTTATATACAGGCGAGGAAGCTGTAGCCTATACAGAACTGTCCAAAATAAAATATTGCTGTAATAACTGGCTAAGAACAAAAATGGCTTATTTAGCTACTGAGACTTTTTGGTCAGCTTGCTTGAGCTAATTAAAATATAGAGAACATCAAATATGGCTAATTATTTTAGAACCCCTCCTTTTTATGGTAAGGGAATAAATCTTTATGGTTACCCAGTGGCCTTTTGGGAAATTACCAAGACACTTCAATGTAAAAACAGTTCTTATTTTTTTGGAGTTTAAGAAAGAGAAAAAGGGGGCAACCTGGGTGGCTCAGTGGTTTACCGCCTGCCTTTGGCCCAGGGCATGATCCTGGAGACCTGGGATCGAGCCCGTGTCGGGCTCCCTGCATGGAGCCTGCTTCTCCCTCTGCCTGTGTGTCTCTGTTTCTCTCTCTCTCATGAATAAATAATATCTTTAAAAAAGACAGAGAGAGAGAGAGAGAGAGAGAGAGAGAGAAAGGAGAAGTCAGAACTGTTTAACTGTTTTCATCATATAAAGCATTTTACCTTTGACTTTGAAATGTAATATCAGCATATTGAATAAAATGATACATATATAATGTTGAATTTGTGGTAATAATAAAATAACAATTTCGTTAATAAGAAGATACTGTATATATTACCTGTTGTGCCTGGTATAGTCTCAACCATTTATATTTGTTACTGTCTTTAGCCAAAGCAATCCAATGTGGTTGTGTACAGACACAAGGAAAACTAGAAGGCAGATAACTGAGAAATATGTCTCTCCATCAGTGCAGATACACATATCCCTTCTATAATTGTCTAAAGTGGTAAAAAAACATATATGTCAACATTCTTCCATCAAGAAATTAAAGTTATTACACAGCATATTAAAAAGAAAGTAAATGCCAAATAAAAACTGTTCTTGACCAGTGTTTTTATTTTTTCTTAAGAAATTTAAGTATATTAAAATTTTTTTAAGTATTTGTCTAAGATCCCAAGGTAACTAAGGCCTGGAAGTGACCATTTATCCGTTGGCAAGCCTGTATAATGTGTAGCATTAGAAATAATTAATCTTCTATCATTTTATTTGCTTTGAATACATGCTTTTACAATTTTATAATCCTCAGTGAAATGATACCATATGATCAATAAAACCAGTAGAGGGAATTTAGGGAGTGCTTTTCTTGGTACTTGTGTAAACTGGAATATAGGGCTAGCATTTTTGCACGATGGTGAAATCTGAGGGAAGACATAGAGCAGTTTTATTTTCTTTTAAGATTTTGTTTATTTATTCATGAGAGACAGAGAGAGAGAAGTAGAGAGACAGGCAGAGGGAGAAGCAGGCTCCATGCAGGGAAGCCCGACGTGGGACTCGATCCCAGGTCCCCAGGATCATGCCCCAGGCTGAAGGTGGAGCTAAACCACTGAGCCACCTGGGCTGCCCCATAGAGCAGTTTTAAAACTAAAATTGTTAAAGCAGTCTAATTTGTTAAAGAGTCATCTTGATTAGAAATACATGAATTGTTTTCTTATGTCATTACAGATACTAAAATTTTTAGAGTTATTTGAAAGCAAATTTTTGCTCTTATCATGTAAGCTAGTAACGGAGGCCATTAATTCAATCCATGGCTGAAATATGTTCCCCTTCAGTTACAATGTTAGCAATAAAAACATTCTTAAAACTTAAAAAGTAGAAGGGCACCTGGGTGGTTCAGTTGGTTAAATGTCTGCCTTCAGCTCTGGTCATGATCTCAGGTCCTGGGATTGAGCCCTGTGTTTGGCTCCCTGCTCAGTTGGGAGTCTGCTTTTCCCTCTCCCCCTGCCTCCTGCCCTGGGCTCTTGCTCTCGCTTGCTCTCTCTCTCTCAAATAAACATAAAATCTTAAAAACAAAAAACAAAAGACACAAAACTTAAAAAGTAGAAATTAAAGATAAAAACTTTGATTTTTTTCTTAATTTGCAATTTTATGTACTTTAACACTGTTTCTAAGGCCGTTTCACTACATGTTGGTATGGTTGTAATATGATTTACTACCGCTGGGGGTAGAAAAGGTTTATCAATCTATTTGCTAAAAAAATCATTAATAGAACAGTTACAGTTTTAGAAGCTAGCAAATATAAGTATAAACAGACACTGGCATTTATTAAGGATGTAATTGAAGTAAAAATGTTTGCAAATATTATTATTATTTTTTAAGAGGGAGGGGCAGAGGGAGAGGCAGAGGAGAGGCAGAGGGAGAGGGAGAGAGAGGACCCCAGGCAGGCTCCACACCCATCACGAAGCTTGATGCGGGGCTCTATCCCACAACCCCGAGATCGTGACCTGAGCTGAAACCAAGAGTTGGACACTTAACTGAGTCACCCAGGCACCCCGTAAATATTATTTTTTGTTGCAATGTCTGTGAAAGAATACATAGATCTAGGTTCAGCTTACTCAGTAGTCACTGTTGATTCTGCTCCCTGTGCAGAAGCACGCGTGCTGCATGGTGATGTAAGTGAATCCTGTCTAGGAGCGTCTGTCAGATACGAGACCTCTGTATGTAGCAGGTCCTTCTTATCAGTTGTGATGTTCTTTGTCATTTTCTTGTTCTCCTAAAGGAAATCAGTCTGGCATGACCTCATTAATGATTGTCTCTGACCATTTTAGCGATTTGCTGCTGTAATCATGAGAATAAGAGAGCCCCGAACCACTGCACTGATTTTCAGTTCTGGGAAGATGGTGTGTACGGGAGCCAAGAGGTAGGTTTAAAGAGTTTATTCTCTAGGTCATACAGTACCATGATATTCAGTTGCATTTTATGTATATTTGACAAAATGTAACATCCAAGCTATTACTAAGGATCCCTTTATGTAAAAAGTTTTATATATAACACAGATTCCTCCCTGAGTGAACAAAGAATTGGTCAGGAATCACAAAATTTTAGAGCTAATGGTGTGAGAGTGTATATATAGATCTGCAGCGGGGCAGCACCATGTGTGTTGTCACAGATCACTGCTGCCTCTTGTAAATAGTCTGCCTCATGAGGGTTGGGGTTATGCAGGTGTTAAGGAGTGTACCCTTTTCATAAAATGCTCTTGTCTATATTCTGTGTCTGTTTGGAGCAATCCTATTTATGAAGGTTAACACTTTGGGGCCTTGACTATAAACTTTGTCTAATAGACTCTGTGTAATTGGTAGAAGGCAAAGGACTGGGAAAGATTAGTTACATCAGGGGCACCTGGGTGGCTCAGCGGTTGAGGGCCTCCCTTTGGCTCAGGGTGTGAACCCAGGGTCCTGGGATCAAGTCCCACATCGCCTGAAGGGAGCCTGCTTCTCCCTCTGACTGTGTCTCTGACTCTCTGTCTCTCATGAATAAAAAAAAAAGTGGGGGGGGGGATTAGTTACATCAGCTTCATAAAGTTTGAACAAATTAAGTAAATTAAACTTTAAAATAAAAGATACTTAATATAAGACTTGCAGTTGTTCACTCACAGAAGGGGCTGTGGATGCTTTTGCTTATTTAATGAAGGGAAGGCTATTGGTGTGGACATTGGGATTCATGGTCTCTGGGTTTTTTCAGAAGGCAAGACATGGGTTTATCCCCAGTTTTCACAGAAGTCTTCATGTAGGGGACTTACTTGTTTTCCCTGGATAAGTATCAAAAACTTGGGGTTTATCGATAAATGCTGGTTGGTTTTATCTTTCCTAGACATGTTTTTCATGTGTACTGTTTAGCTTTCTTTATCCATTTGCTACACACTGAGTAGTCTGTATCTAGTTGCATCATTATTTTACTAAGATAGGGAACTAGAAATAAATTTATTTTCCTCAAGGAAAAGAAAGCATCTCATGTATGTATGCTTAATTTTTGTCATTCCTGACCCCTACACTTGAGTCTTTTGCTCAGGATGGTATTATTGCTTTTATTTTGCTTTTCCTAAGTTCTACATTAGTAAGCCATAGGTTTATCCAGCAGATGAGTTATAAGAATGGATAATGAGTAGAATTAGTGCATGCATTAGTCAAGTCTAAATCCTATCAATATTTTCCTATCAAAATGAAGTTGTTAATTTTCATTTTAGAAATATATAGGTTATAAACTACAGTAATAGTAATGATAGTGCTGATGAGATACTCCACATCTGTAAAACCTGGGTGTATTAGTAATTTGGTGTAGGCCTGCAGTTTTCTGTCAAGGACACAGGAGTACTTTATGATAAAATTGTTTTTTTGTTGTTGTTGTTGTTTTTTTATAAAATTGTTAATGTCTGTTCTCTTACTGGAAGTGGGGGTGACATTTTGCCTTTTTTAAAAAAATAACTTTTCTAGTTTGGACTTCTTATAAGTTACTCATTTAAATAATTATTTTAGGTGTCTTTGTAACTATCTCACTTTTTCCTTTTCCTAGTGAAGAACAGTCTAGACTGGCAGCGAGGAAATACGCCAGAGTTGTACAGAAGTTAGGTTTTCCAGCTAAGTTCTTGGACTTCAAGATTCAGAACATGGTGGGGAGCTGTGATGTGAAGTTCCCTATAAGGTTAGAAGGCCTTGTGCTGACCCACCAACAGTTTAGCAGGTGAGTCTGAAATGTATTACCTGTGGCAACAGTTCATTTACAATCTGTGTAAACCTAGTTCATAACATATGCAAAACAGTATGTAAGCACAAATGATGTAGCAATAGATGTATTTAATGTTGAAGTTTCTTCCTAATGTCTTGGAAAATGTATTATTCTCACCATTCTCCTACTTCCCATTTCATTTATTGACATCTATAACGCCCCTTAACTGGGATGAAATTGATTCCCTATTATTTTATTGCTCAATAAGTGCATTTTAAATGCATGAATTAAATCCACAACCTCTTATATCAATTTTTGTTCCTAGTTGTTTGAATTGTTTTTTTCTAGTGAACATTATATGAGCTCTGCCAGCAAAGTATAAACTTGAGTGAAATGAATCTTCTTTCTTCTTATTTTCCCTGCCACTTACAAGGCCACTGTCCACCGCTCCAGCCTCTCTGCTCCTGCCCCTCTTGGACCAGGTTTTGTACATCCCTCTTGTTCACTTCTCACCTAGGAAACTTCCACTCACATTTCCGATATCCACCCAAGTGTCCCTCTGTCAGAGAAGCCTGTCATGCATTTCCCACTAGGGTAATTACACATGTCGTAACTGGTTTCCGTCTGTCTGAACTGGGAAAATGAGGCTGCTGGGATTCCAATCGGACATGCCACTCATGACCCTTGATAAGGGTCAGACACTGCAGAGCATAAATCTAAAGGTCTTGTTCTCATGTGAGAAAATCCAGTCTCATTAGAAACACAGTTTGTTGGTCTTCAGGTACTGACAATAGATCGCCCTCACTGGCCTTTAGTTTTCTCTCCTTTGGGTTGACCTCCCAGTGAGTCTGCGGTTCGGTTAGTAGTATTTTACCTAAAGCACGGGCAGCTTTTGATTTCTAAACTGTTTGTGCCATTCCCTTCTAGTTACGAGCCAGAGTTATTTCCTGGTTTAATCTACAGGATGATCAAACCCAGAATTGTTCTTCTTATTTTTGTTTCTGGAAAAGTTGTACTAACAGGTAAGTTGTAACAGGAAGTAGTGTCCAAAGGTTTGAAAGAATTTCACGAACAGATTCTTCTCAGTGCTGAGAAGTAATTTCCCAGAGTGGGGACAGTTGGATAGTATGTGGTGTAGATGCCATTGCCCCTTTCTCCTCCACTGTGTAGCACTAGTGAGAAACATACCATCCGGGGGTGGGGGTTGAGAGCAGGGAAATGAGACCACAGCAAGACCCCCAGTGGGGAGAGCAGGGAGGGTGGCCTTGACATTGGCTGAGAGGTGGCATTTTGAGTTGGAAATGCTCCTGTAAAGCTTTGGGATTTGTCAGCAGTGCCACTTGGAAACAAGTGGGGAAGGTTCAGAAGAGCTTGCTTGAAGGCAAGTGGGGGAATATGATGTGGCTGTTCCTTCTGCGCTGCTTAGGTCACAAACTGCTCAGGTCAGAAACTGATGCAGGGACCAAGATGGGTCACTTGTGGCAAACTGCAGAGGGAGCTGGAGTCACCCAGGGCACTGTTTTTGTGGTTAAAAAAAGCTATTTTAAGAACTTTTTCCTGGAGGCACCTGGGTAGCTCAGTGATTGAGCGTCTGCTTTCAGCTCAGGTTGTGATCCCGGGGTCCTGGGATCAAGTCCTGCATTGGGCTCCCTGCAGGGAGCCTGCTTCTCCCTCTGCCTATGTCTCTGCCTCTCATGAATGAATGAATGAATGAATAATCTAATTTTTAAAAAAGAGAACATACTATAAAAACAAAAACATGGGCAGCCCCGGTGGCGCAGCGGTTTAGCGCCACCTGCAGCCCAGGGTGTGATCCTGGGGACCGGGGATCGAGTCCCACATCGGGCTCCCTGTATGGAGCCTGCTTCTCTCTCTGACTGTGTCTCTGCCTCTCTCTCTGTCTCTCACGAATAAATAAAGTCTTTAAAAAAAAAAAAAAAAAACAGGTTTGTGACAAGGGATTCCCTCATTATGTTTGAATGCCTGTAGCTATTAGTCTAACTGGTAATGGAGAGAACTGTGCTTATGGTTTTTTGGTTTTTTTTTTTAGATTTTTAACTTATTTATTCATAATAGACATGGGGGGGGGGCAGAGACACAGGCAGAGGGAGAAGCAGGCTCTGTGCAGGGAGCCCGACACAGGACTCGATCCCGGGTCTCCAGGATCACGCCCTGGGCTGAAGGCGGCACTAAACCGTTAAGCCACCGGGCTGCCCTGTGGTTTTGTTTTAAAGTAATTTTACCTCTTTAACACATTAAGAAAAGCTATTTCTGACTCTCTCCTCCGACTTGTCTTCATAGGTGCTAAAGTCAGAGCAGAAATTTATGAAGCATTTGAAAACATCTACCCTATTCTAAAGGGCTTCAGGAAGACAACGTAATGGCTGTGCATCCTCCTGCCTCTGCACCCACTTGTTTTTAAAACAAATCAGTTTTGGTACATTTAAATGATGGTGATGTGGATGGCCCCAATTTGGTGAGAAAATGGATGTTCTGTGGGTTGTAGCACCTGGTGAAGCTCTCCAGCACGTGTTCCCCATGGGGATGCCGGGAAGTGGTCTTCCTTCTGCGTAGAGAACACCGCAGTGTTATGTAAGTCGCCCGTACTGTGCTGCTCTTTGGGCAGCGCTGCCCAGTTATTTATATTTAGGTTTTAAAGACACACTGCTGTCAACAAGTTGGTTTGAGGTACAAAACTTCAAGTGTTAAAGCCACCTCTACAGTTGATTGGACTTTTTCTTTTGTTTAATTTCTTCCCCATAAACCACAGTTTTTATATTTCTACCAGAAAAGTAAAAATCTTTTTTAAAAGTGTTGTTTTTCTAATTCGTGACTCTTAGGGGTTATTTTTGTGCCAGACACATTCCGCCTTTTCAGTATTGCAGGACAGAGTGGCCGTATTAATGGGAACGAATGCTGTACATATTTTTCTTCCTCAGAGTACTCTGTACAATAAATGCTGTTTATAAAAGTGTTAGCTTGATGTTATAAATGACACCTTGTAAGATTCATGTGATCATAACTGTTAAAGTTGTATTTTAGATATAATTGCCTGAAACCGTTTCAGTGTGTGCTTGCTTGCTGTTTGTTTCAATCAATGTTTCATTGTGTGTCACGGTGACAGCAGATGAACCACCTGCAAATGGAAGGTTGCTCCTGAAACACAAACTTGCTACGTTCCGTATCTGGAGTACCTCCTGTTCCCAGATACGCTGCCTGTAATTCTCACAAAACCCGTGATCAGGTTTGTTCCCCTGTTTGGTGCAGAGACTCAGGCCTGAGCTGTGGGATTTGCCCCAGGGCGCAGAGCCAGCGCGCTTGTGTCCTCCAGTGTCCTCGCTGGGCTTCGTGTACAGCCGGGGGAGGGGTTTTTCTTATGACTATTACCTGGAAATATGTAAGTTCTTGGGTTTATTGTTTGGGCTACTGTGTCAAAGTGTATTTTCAGGCAGTTCAGAGGCACATAGAATCATTATCAGGATCCTAACTCTCTCTCTTCTGCCGACTTCCCCCGGGGCTCCCAGGCCCCTTCTGTGCAGATTCTGCCCTTTGGGGCAGCGTTTGAGCCCATATTTAGAAAATACTAAAGCATATATTATTTTTATAGCTTTGCTTTTTTTCAGTCCGTATGTCCTGGAATCTGATAGCATCACAGACGTACGGCTTCCTCTCCCACATTCCGTGATCATTGGCAGCGTCGTAAACCGTGCCATAGGAGGCCCTTGCTCGCCTGCTTGTGGTTCAGGGCGGTATTTGTGTAGGGGACGTGCCTAGCGGAGGAGGCCCTGCCGTCCATCAGTCTAATATTCTCTCCTCTATCCAAGAAGTGTTTTTCCACGTGTAGATCTTCTCTTAGATTCTTTAGTAGTTTATAATGTTTTCGTATAGGGCTTCTGCGTTTCATAAAAGTTAATTCCTAAGTATTCTCTGGTCCCTTTTGTTCATGTAATATTTCATTATTTCAGTTCTCGGTGACATAAGTCTTTTAGTCCCAATGACTATTGAATTCAAAAGCTTTTCCCTGTGGAATACAGCACACACAGAAAACTGTAGTTTTTGAATTTTGAATTCTGAATTTGAATTGGATGAGTCGCTATGAACTCATGAGGTAGTCAGTTGACATCCCTGTAACCAGCACTCACAACTTTGTCCGTGTCCCGGGGGCCCCTCTTTCTGTTCCAGTCCAGCCTGTACAACACCCGCTCCCCCTCCCCCACAACAGCCATGGTCTTGTATAGTTATTACCTAAATTACTAATATAGGTTAGTCTTCCATTAAAAAAAAATGTTTTTATGTCTCTTTATGCCTTATATTCTCCTCCCTCTCTTTTCTTTAAAACATTACAGGCCACATTTACACCTGGTAGTTTCCTAGTTTGTTTTGCTGTTTTCAAACACATGGTATTGCTCAGCATGTTCCTGTGTTGTTTCCTGTATGCAAACGAGCACCTACATCCAGAGTCTTGGTCCCTTTGTAAAGACTACGAAAGTGGCATGTTCGTTGTTAGGAACCAAATGCCTAGTTGTCTCTTTTCTCATTGATCTATGATTGCGTTTATGGGGTGCAAATGATGAATTCTAGTTACTTCTTTTCCAGTCATTCATTAGAATACTTTTGTAAAGTGATACATGTCATATAGCAGGATAAATGCTTGCTTCTTTCCCTTCGAAAGCTTTTGAGATAAAATACCTCATGAGTTCATATCGATATATCGAATTCAAATTCGGGACTATGGGGGTTTCATTTGATCATTTACATATTTTTTACACTGAGAATCCTTAATTTTTAAAAATACATGAAATGAGTTAGAAAAAACCAGTTTTTAGTAGATAAATCTACTTTACCTTACATTATACCTGCAATCTTAGTTTACAATATTACCACCAGCGTGATTATCGAAAGCACTTAAACATACTTGTTTTGCTGTGATATCCAAATTGTCAAGGGATCATGAGAACGGCATTCAGTATCTGAAATAACAGGACGAATGTATTGCTGTCGTAGTAGGATGAGCGGTTGGGTCAGGCAGCGTCTGAGCCAAACGTGTTTTGGTGGACAGTGGAATACTTGGATTAGCAATAGTGAGTGACATCCTCCACAGGAAGTTACTGGATGAGATGTGAATATTTTATGGTGTTTTTAAATGCATCTTGCTTTTTCTAGAGACAACTGAGTTGCTTCATGTTTTTATTTAAATTTTTGGTTTTAGGTTATTTTTATTTGGTATTTTCTGTACGGTTATCTTTTTAAGATGGATGCCAGTTGACATGGACACTTTCTGGTAATTTGGACTAGTCTGTAAGTGCAAAGACCCTGTGAACTCTTCACTGTGATTTCCAGAAATTGGCAGGGATGCACACGTAAAGGACAGCCCAGCTGGTTATTCCCAGCACACCTGCGAGAATGTCTACAATCATTTGGTGAGGTTTCCAAACCCTAATGGATTTGCTTAAAGTCCTTGGCAGTGAGGGTGCTGATCTGCATTGAAAAACTAACATCTCCCGACTTCAGGAATCATTTATAATTTGCAATGTGAAGACACCCCCCCCCCCCGCCACTAGTCCAGTTTTCCAGAAGCCACGCGTGATTCTGACTTTGCTCTCTCAGCTTGAAAGCTGTGACACCTTCCTCCTTCCTGACAGGTATTTAAAAGTACCCTAGTGGTTTCCCATGTGGCGCTTTGCTTCACTGTATTTTATACACACCCTTCTATGAATTACATACACATAGGTACACATAGAATGTAGGCTAATGGGCACGAGTTTCTCATACAAAAGTGTAGGGAGATAGCCAAGTAGTCAGTGACGTTAACATATGGTGTAACATCCAAAAAGACACACTTATGGGAGAATATGGGCCAACCTAGATTAGCTGTTGGTTTTCAAGCACTCCGTCAACAGCAGTGTCCCTTTAGGCTTGCTGTAGCGCTTGGCAGGCGTCACTGGGTGTTGATAGAACCGGGAACCGTCACAACGTAATTGAGAAACACTATGGGCCAGAAGGAGCCTTAGCACCGTTAATAGGTTTAGCGGACCTCAGGGCCACATTTCCCAGTGGCTGATTCCTGCCTCCTTACTTGGGTTTACTCCCCACGTGTACGCTGGTTAGGAGATGGGGGTGGGAGGACCTCATTCATGCCTTGCAGCAGTCTCTGATCAAGGTCAGTTTTGAGGTAGACCTTCTCTCCAAAGTCAGTTATTCATAACACTCACCAGCCTGTGAGTTCTGTATTTTTCCATTGTTCTGGGCTTCTGTGTATCCTAGAGCCGGTGACAGTGACCTGATTACCAGTCAGGTCTCTTTGGGTTTTACCCAGATAGTTTTCTCTTAGTTTTAATGTTGCATATTTTAGGAGGAAAAATGTTCTGAGTAATGGATTGTCTTAATTAGGCAATTAACCCATTTTTATTGTAGAAAGAAACACGTAGGTAAAACAATTATTTCACTTAGTCCCACCATCCTTAGTTAACTAGTTCCCACCAAGTGCGTATCTTTCCAGGTTTCTGTGGACATACACGTGTATAAATACTTTAACAAAGATATGAACATGCCATGAAGATCTTGTGTCAGTTTAAAGCTGTATCTTGTACATACAAGTCTACGTCATTAAGACTGTATTACCCTCTGTAGGGATTCACCAACATTTAATTACCTGTCACTGGACATTATTGTTTCACTAATATTTACACATTGTAAACTCGCCTAAAACAACATCTTTGTACTTTTGTCTCTTAGGATAAAGTGTAGAAATGGTCTTGCAAGGTCCAAGAGATTAAGAGCATCTGTGAGGCTTTACAGTGTCTTTAGGGTGTATCTGTTATATCTTGCTTCCAGACAAATTCCTCTGTGTAGCCAATCCCCAGTCTACAGCTTTCAGCACAGGTGAAGATAGCCAGGACACCCCAATCGACACTCTTGCCCAGTCTGTCGGCCTTCAGGTAGTTGAGCAGCTGAGGCATGACCTGCAAAGAGGACGACTCAATCAGAGCCTTGTGTTGAGGCAGGGAACACTGTCTGCTTTCAACAGGCCTGTGCCAGGGTGATTACAGGGATGCTGGTCTCTCAGTCTCTAGCTTTGACACCAAGAACCAATTACTGTTGGATACAGTCTTCACAATTCCTCTCTTCCCCTAAGCCACAAATAGTACCTACTACCACTGTGTAAGGTTAGCAGATCGGCTGTGGAAGAGCACTTCTACCCAACCCAAATGGATTGTGATCCTTTTGAAAAACCGTATGTCTTAATGATTATGTCCATTTGTTTTCCTAACAAATCCACAAGCTAACACTAAACAGTTTAGCACCTCTAATAAAACACTCCTGTCACAAAGTACAAAGACCTTAATTGCTGTAACAAGAAAGAATATTTAAAATTACAAAGGTAACAAAATGGAGACACCAAAAATGATGCTGTAACCGCACTGGGAGGGGGGAGGATGGTCCAGGTGGTATAAGAAAGTACATTTAAATCCTCATTACTGCACATGTCAGTGAATGGATAATGTCTACAAACTAGTAAACTGACAAATTACCAGAAAAAGCATGTTATTTAGAGAGAGAAATAACTACCAGATAAGACCATCGAACCTAATCCCCTCCAAGGAATAAGCTCTTAGGTGAGACAAGGCACTTTCTGTAGCAACAACAGGATCCGTGTGTATGTGTTACTTTGGAAAAGTTTTATAGCATTTAGTAAGATAACTTAGGGTGATCGTATTTTAAAATACTCTTTAAGTCATACCTGGAATTCAAATATCCTCTTGGCACCACAGGGACAATGTGGAATATCCTTTTCTTGAGGGATATTTTCACCAGAGATCCAGATGGGTGCAATCCCTCTGCCGTATCTGAGAATCTAAAATCAACCAGGATCATGTGCAGATCGCCAACATGTCACCTAAATTGCCAGTGGTAGCCTGTGATTGCATAATCATCTGGAGAACCTTGATGGAACACTCATCTGAAACAGTTTTACTATTTCCCACCTCAGACCTGGCACTGTTAATAAAATGTCATCAAGTCAGTTATTTTAGCTTATCTGACTCTGGATACCAGAATCATATTTCATAGATGATAATATGGTTAGAATCTGAATCCTGAGTAGGGTCCCACATAATCCTCTTTCTCCATTACCAGTTTCTGAATCCAGAATGCAGCCCAGAGTCTGTGCTATCAGATAAAAGGAACCTCAGTTAAAAGATTTTAAAAGGGACGGGGCGTCTGGATGGCTCCACTGGTTAGGCACCTGAATGGTTTCAGCTCAGGTCATGATGTCAGGCCTGTGAGATGGAGCCCGAGCCGCGCTCAGCACACGGTCTGCTTGTCCCTCTCTCCCCGCACCGCCCCCCCCCCATACACACACAGGTGTGCTGCTCGCTTGCTCTCTCTCTTGCATACTCTCAAAACCTTTAAAAAATTGAAAGATTCTCTCTCCCTTTGCCCCCCCTACCCCTGCTTGTGCACAGTCTCGCTCGCTCTCAAATTTTTTGAAAAACATTTTAAAGATACAAATGCCAAGTAGTTTAGATAAATAATACAGAGATAAATGTCACTGTTAAGATCTTAATCAACAGAATGGCTTTCCTGTGTTTTGTTAAAAGCATACACATTGCTAAAAACTACCTTCTCAGTGCTTAGTGCTTACGTCTATCCTTATAATGTTCTTGCTCGGGATATTTATTTGACCCAGTGACTGCTTTATAGAAGTTTAGCTGAGCTTTCTGCAGTGACTTAGGGTCTTTATTTTATTTATTTATTCATGAGACACACACACACACACAGAGAGAGAGGCAGAGACACAGACAGAGGGAGAAGCAGGCTCCATGCAGGGAGCCCGACGTAGGACTCGATCCCAGGTCTCCAGGATCATGCCCTGGGCTGAAGGTGGTGCTAAACTGCTGAGCCCCCAGGCTGCCCTGATTTAGTGTCTTTAAGGGAATGATGTTAATGGAAGAACAGAGATGGAAAAAAAAAAAAAAAAGAAAAACAGATGAAGACAGGAAACATCTGCTGAGCACTTACTATGTGCCTACATTCTCCCTTCACGCTCACAACTACCCTGATTTTTTTCACACTGCAGATACAATGACATCAAAGCTCATTGTTTAATTCCAGGATCCAGGATTCTTCCCAACACCAAAGCCCATTTTTCTTTTCACAAAACTAGTGTCTGCGGTAACATGTCATGTTGGTTTTATAAGCAAAAGGTTCCTGTTGGATAAATGGGCAAAAATATCTATTCCTTCCTTCCTTCCTTCCTTCCTTCCTTCCTTCCTTCCTTCCTTCCTCCCTCCCTCCCTCCCTCCCTCCTTCAACTGGTACAAACTTCCTGTATTATAGGCAACACACCTTACTCATCTGTCTCTAATGCTTTCTTTAAAACACGGACCCCCTAGGTGATAAACAGTATAACCTGCAGTCTCAGAAACTACTGACAGGATCAGCAGGACCACTGTGTGAAAGGATTCCTGTAACAAGAGACTAGCTTTATTGTAGTTACTTCTCAGGGATTGTACCCGGAAAAAACACAGCCTGAAAAGAACACAAGAAGGAGTTGTAAGAGTTCTAGTTTACCTGTTCCGGCTCAAGCGCTATTTTAGTTTTGAACTTCTGGAAAATTTTATCTTCCTTTGATTCATGTTTGGCCATAGAATCCAATTCTTCCTCAGGTGCTTCACCTGAAAAGTCATCAACGTAACTGTTAAGGCAAGAGGACTAATCCCCATGACTTGACATTCCCCAAGTGCTGAGGGCAGGAAATTTCAAACCACCAACTTAGAGTTAAATCAGATAGTCAGATGTTCCCATAGGCTTTCCCTGTTTTAATTCATTAAAGTTAGTACTTCAGGACCATCTTATTTTCCAGGTACCCCACTTTGCTGGGCAGGTTCCTAGTGAGTGCTTCTCTTGAAAGCTATCAATTAAAAGCACAGACGCAAGTCCTGTGTTTAGGACTTGTGCCCAGTAGATGCAAGGACACCCAGCAAACACAGCCTTTTCTTCTCACTACTGCCCTTCCGCTGCCTGGACCGTCCCACCAATCTCCTGTCTCACACGTCCCTTCCCGGCTGGTACACTCACTCCCTGTGGACCCACTGGCTTGTTCCCTCTGCACACTCCCATCCTGGAATCCCAGCTCCAAACCATTGCTGTCCTCAATGGGATTTAGTCTGTGTTACATATACCAAAGCATATTTATGACAGCACCTGACGGTAACCTATTTTGAAGTCTGATTTAGACTCTGAAACCTAATTTTGTAGCAGTTAGGAACTAAAATTCTGCAGTCAACAACATTGAGCTCTAACTGCAGTTCTAAAACTTTGGTTACATGACCAACCAAGTTACACAGAAAACCTCAAGTTCCTCACTGCAAAATGAGGTAGTTCCTAACTCACTGTACTGCTTGAGAGGAGATCATGCACAAATAGCGTTTGCTGGATAAATGCTGTCTACGCATCCTTCTCTTAAGTATCTGGCTGACCCTGGGACTAGAGTCCCATACCATCATCTCCAGGTAACCTGTAAAATCGGGTATCTGAAACCAGCTAAATGAAACATTTAAAGGGCCTTTGTCACCCCCACCCCCGCAACACTACACTACACACACTCACATGCTCCAACTACAACTGAGAAACAGATCTTGGGTCCAGATGAGCTTATCCAGTGGAGGAGCCTTATCCCACGACCACCCGGATACTGGATACTTGCCCAGACAGGTCTTCATCAGAACCACTATCTGATAAATACACCATGCGGGGAGGTACAGTATTTGAAAATTACAGGCTACAGACTCCAAAGTGAGTTGACTTCTCCTGTCATACTGAGTCATACTTCTCCTCTCTTCTTGACATACTGAGCCTTTTCTTTCTAGCATTACATTTAATCACTTAACGTTCTAAAGCTAACTCCTTACCCATGCTCCCCACAATTTCGGATTCATTTTCTTTTTCAACAACTTCAGGTGTAATCTCCTCTTCTGTTTCTATTACAATTTCAAATTCTGGAAAAAGGAAGTTGTGGTCTGGAATTGTTCCATCTAAATCTGAAACAAGAAAAGGTAACTAGCATCATTACTAATCCTTTAGTTTTAAAGAGGGTCCAGTAATTTTCCAGTTCTAAAGTGTATTCTACGTAGTAACAGTTTTCCCTAGTAAATACAATACACAGAGTTCAGCAGTTTAGATCATAAATTAATCGCCCGTATTAAGGCAAGTCTGAGACACAACTGAGCAGGCAAGACCTCATGGTTCCTCCTTCCTAGGTATTGTTACCAGTTACCAAAATTTTGAAAAGTATAATACCTTATCTAATCTTAACTTTTATCCTCAGAAGTGAGACTATGAAACTGAGCCCAGACTGCAGAAGAGGTGCCTCACCTGGGTGCGGGCAGGCCTGCTTGTGCCCACACCTCCAGTCCAGAGCCTGGTGCTCCTTACTGCAGTAACGGGCCCTGTGGCAGCGGGAGCACGTTTTGGGGCCTAAGCAGCCACAAACCCTGCAGAGGTGAGCACCGGACTTGAGCTGGAGGCACACAGACTCTCCTGTCTCGGGAGGAGGATCCTCAGACGGTGGCTCATAGGAGTAGAAATCATTTTTTCTGGGCAGCTGGTTTCTAAAAACTACGAGGAAACGAGGAGAAATGAAGCATCGTCAGTAAAACAATATAGCAATCGAAATACTGGGGCCTCCGGTTCACACAGGATTGAAAAGAAGGAACTTTTCGATGTCAGGGATCTTATTTTCTGAAAGAGGAGAAAACACCACGTGGAAAACAACAAACTAGTTGGGTATCCACGACAACTGAATGCGGTCTTCGAGCTCGCCGAGAATAACGCAATGGCTCTGCCGGCCAAGTCGCACGGACCGCAGGGATATGGAGACGCTGTCGGGCCCAGCTCCCTCGGACGGTCGGCACCCGGCGGGCCCTTCCTTCGGGGCCACAGGGCGACGCGGGGGCGGCGGGGCCGGAGCAAGTGCGCGACGCCCGCCCCCGAGGCCCCGCCCTCCGCAAGCCCCGCCCCTCCGCAAGCCCCGCCCCTCCGCAAGCCCCGCCCGCCCCGAGGCCCCGCCCCAGGCCCGGGGCCGCGGCCGCTCACCGCGCAGACCGGCACAGCAAGGCGGCGCCCGGCAGCAGAAGAGGAAGAGGCCGCGGTGGAAGGCGTCGGCGCGCTCGGGCAGCGGCGCGTACAGCTGCAGCAGGAAGGCCAGCGGGCGGCCGCACAGCGCGCAGGCCAGCTCCTCGGGCCCCGGCAGCCCCGCCGCGCCCAGCCACGCCGGCCGCCCGCCCACCTTGCTGGGGAACTGCTCGCTGCGCAGCCGCCACGCCGGCGCCGCCTCCGCGAAGCCCAGCTCGACCGGCCCCGCGCCGGCGGCCGCCATGGAGCGCGCGAGCCGGCGGCGGGGCCCGGCAGCCGGAAGGCGGAAGTCGGCCACCGGAAGCACGCGACGGCGGCTCGGCAGCGATTGGGCTACAGGGAGAGGGGGCGGGACTAGGGCACCGGCTGGCCCTCCGCGGGCGCCGCGCGTCCCTAACTCCGGGTCACGGGGGCGCGGCGGCGCTTAGGGAGCGGGGGCGGCTGGGCGGGGGCGGGGCGGCTCGCCAGCCCCTCCCACGGTTTCGGTTGGGTCCTTCGTTTTGGGCTCTCCTCTGCCCCGCCTTGTGGACGTGGCTGCCTTCGTTACGTCGGACAGTGAGAGTTTTACTTTTCCAAGTGAAACTTGACGCGCGTCGGCGATCTCGCCGTCGTTCCCGGCGGGTCCCGCAGCCCCCGCCCGGCCCGCGGGGCCACCGCGCACGCGCACCTGCCGCGGGGCGAGCCCCGGCCCGAGGCCCCGAGGCCCTGCGCGGTGAGGACCCAGGACCCAGGGCCCGGCCGCTCTGCTTCGGGCTCGGCCCCACGTGGACCTCGTGCTGCTGCTCCCGCATCTGTTTTACACCGGATCACATCTACCAGGTCCTTCGTTTTGAAAACAAGTTTCTTTAATTTTACTTAAATCGTAGCATTAAAACACAGTAACATTCTCTTTCATCTTAGTGTTTGTTTTCTGGTGGTGTTTCCATAAGCACATGTTAATCATTCTAAAAAAAATTTTTTTTTTTTTTTACCATGTTATTTATTTCTCGGAGAGAGAACCAGCAGGGGGAGTGGCGGAGGCGGGGGGGCGGGGGGAGCAGACTCTCCGATGAGCAGGACCCGGAGCTGGGGCTCGGCCCTGGGGCCAGGACCGGAGCCACCCAGGCGTCCCCATTCGTAGATTCTTAAGCAACCAAAGTAAGTTCTATTTTACCGAAGGGAAAACAATATGAGAATATTTATTTTTGAAAACTAAGTTCAGGAACATGGATAACCGTACGTCGTCTCTTCTCAGATGGGGTGATCGTAGATGTGAATTGCGTTCTCTGTCCACTGAAGTGACGGTTTGCTCAGATTTTTCTTCCCAGCAATGGAATCCCAGACTTCTTAGAAAATCCAGTGACTTTTCACACCAGAAGCCTGTGCAATCCTCTTTTCTCTATGATACACATAATCCAAACATGTGAAGATGAGGTAAAGCCGGAGTGCCTCTTTTTTTTTTTTTTTTGAAGATTTTTATTTATTTATTCATGAGAGACACAGAAGCAGAGGCATAGGAAGGAGAAGCAGGCTCCATGCAGAGAGCCGGATGTGAAACTCGTTCCCGGGACCCCGGGGTCACGCCCCGGGGGCCCAAGGCAGCCGCTCAACTGCTGAGCCCCCCCCAGGCGTCCCAGAGTGCCCCTTCAAAGCTGAAACTCGTTTGGGAAATCTGCTTCGGCTCCTTCTAGGATCCCTCTGCTTTCTACCCGGAATCCATTTATTATGAGTTCTACCGTATTTTTCGTGGACGAGCGTTCAAATTGCTCTGTGCCCTTTCTCCTAACTCACTGTCAGATCAGCTGTAGCCTGTGGCTCAGCTTTCAATTCTGTCCTTATTTCCATAAGTCTGAAAGCATCAGCTTGCATTTTGGAAATGGATACCACCACCACTCCTCTCTCTTACTAAGTCTCCAGTGTGACCTTTGTGGTCCTTGTGCCTTCCTCACACCCCTTTGTTGAGAGGTACACACCTCCCCTCTGGACGTGCTCTAGCTCCTCCCAAACTCATCTCAAGGCAATGCATTTTTTATGAGTTTGTTTAGCTGAGGTTCAGCCCATGCCTCTGACTCACTTCCTCACCCCCATGTAAAGGGAGCAAGTTGGCAGCTCAGTCCCTTATGAGTTGTTAATATTGCAGAATTTCTGCATTGAATGAGCCCTGGTGAGGATGAGTCATTTTGCTGCTGAACACATGCATCCCTGCACTGCAGTTTGCCTCAGATTGCCTAGGCACTAGAATCTTCCACCCACGGAAGGGAATTTACAAGGACCACTTAATAATTTTTGGTCTATAAAGAGCAAAGAATGTTTTCCCAAAACCACTGAGGAGAAAATGAGGCTGAGCAGAACTGCCCCAGGTCACAACGGTAGGACAGTCATTGCATGATGTTGGGAATGGCTACTTTGTCCTTTGTAAGCCACCCAGCACAGGGACTCTTTGGGCCAAGTCTTCACCCAGCCCTGGATGAAAAATTGGCAAATTACATAATCCTCACCTTTGTTTATGGTCTTTAGTGGTTTTGCTCAGTCATCACAGCCCCAAATGCTCAGCTTGACATCCCATATTGGACTTGTCTTTTGACTCTAGTTTCTTGTTATTCTCACTTGCTATTTCTTATTTGTTGGGCAGTATCAGGGTCAGGGATGGGGTCTGGGTCCAGGTCAGCCTCACATTCTGGGTCAGCATTAAGGTCAGTGTTTGGGTCAGGGCCTGGGTCAGGGTTAGGGTCAAGTTTTGGCTTTAACCTAAGTGGCCCCCCTCCCTATCTTCCTCTTTTTCAGTGTCTAGAATGGACAGGACTCTCTCATGGTCACATATGCATCAGGAGTCGGTCTAGGGTGCATTGTTTTTATCCCCCTCAGTGTTTGGCTCTAAAAGAAGAGTAAACTATGTGCCTGGTCACTGATTGTTTCGACTCCAACTCAACCCCAATCATGGAAAGGGAGCTCCTGGCCTCACTCTGCCTGGGGATTCCCAGGTTCCAGCCCAGGGCACTGAGTAGACATACGTGGATTATACAAGGTAAGGTATGGCCTACCCACTCCTGTGTGCAGCTTTCTTGGGCGCTAGGGGTACCCTCCTGACATTGGCTTGATGTTTCATCCCATCCAAGCGGTCAGCAGTAGACAACGACGTCTTAGATGGGACAGCCCTTGGCCTCTGACCATCCAGGCAGGCATCTGTGGTCCTCCAGCTCTGGCCAGCCTGGGTCCTAATAACCCCCACGGCCAATTACTGAGCTGACTGTGCTCCTGGCAATGTAACAGCTCCATGAGCAGTGTAGACAGCTCCATGGGATGTCGCCATTCCCAATATCTGTGTGGTTGAGACAAGTGCTTCCTGCCTCACAGCCTGCTAGCCTATCAAGAGAGTCAATAGCCCTCCAAGCATAGAATGTGGCCCTGACCACAACAGCCATACAGCAGACTGGCCCTGCAGTCCTTTGGCCTCCCGATTGTAATATAAATCTTTGACATGCGTACTTGTTAGGAATCCAGATATAGGAGCAAATGTGTCTTCTCAGCAGGCTGCATGGTCTCAGAGAGCTGCATGCATGAAGCAGGGGCTGTGGCCTCCAGAAAGTCTGCCATATGTGGATTCTGTGCCGTGGAATAATCTTTGAGCTTCCCACTGCTTCACTGAGCAATAATTTCCTAACCATCCTTGCATTGGGTCTCTGCTCTTTGTAAAGCAGTGAGAAGAGACTGGAAAATGAGCCAGTTTGTTCTTTGGGGATAGGTGATTGATGTGGCGGAAGGGAGGGTGCGGGTGTGACTCCTGGGTTCCCTCCTCTGAGGGAGATGAGTGAGGTCTGCATGGCTCCAATCTCTGAGACACAAGGACCCAAAGCCCAAGGTAGGAGCCTTGAGTTTCCCATCAATAGCAAAGTTGGTTTTTTAGCAAGTGGAAGAGCTTCTTGATATTCAGAGAGGATAGCAAGAGCCCTGGATGGGCGGCTGAAGCCCCTGACCCTAAGTGAACCCCTTCCTTCCTTGGGCTTCAGAGTCCACAGCCGTGCAGCCAGCCGCCAGTGATGCAGAATCTGCTGCTTTTCCAGCCCAGCATCTGTTCTTATGTCCTCGTCCAGCACCTCAGCTTACCTTTGGGAACCATGTCTCACTGGCCTCTCATCCAAACAGTCCAGAGTTCAGACCACACACTCCACCCATCTCGAAGATGGGTGTATGATCCAAGTGCGCCTAACCTCATGCTCATTCTCTGGGTGCTCTGATGGCTTCAAGGATGAGAATGTGATCCAAGCCAGACCAAAGACACTGAAAGCCATGACTTTTCACGGAACCCAAGGGAAAAGAAACTCTTCCCAGTAGAGTGGACACTGAATGGGTGTCAGCCTGGAGTTGCTGGAGACCCCAGATGCTGGGAGAGACTGTGCCTATGAATGGGGCCACCCTAGGGCACTTAGCAGGATGGAAGGGTGGAGATGGCTCAGGGTCATATTGTGAGAGTGTGAGCCCCTGAGCCTGCCAGGTCCAAACACAGTCTTAAGTTGCCTCTCACAAGTATTTATTTCTACCATTAAAAATATTAACTTGTTTTACTTTGGTCAATGTGTCCAGTCCCTTGCCATCCAGAAGATGCTAGCTGACATACTAGGATCAACAGTTTCTGAGGCTCCCTGTGCACGGTGTCCTGGGTGGGCCATGGCTCGGGGGGTGGGGGGCAGAGGCAGTTTGGGGGAGTCAGGTCTCTGGGGACCTGTTCCTTCTCTGTCCCTGGAAAGGAAAACTCCAGAACAGTGAGAGGAGAACCGGCAGCAGCAGGAGGTCCCTGGGTGGTTAATTTCCTTATTTCAGTGTCCATTTTGTTAAAGTGTATTTTTACTAGGAAACCACTCATCTCCTCTGGGTTTCCAGTCTGTTGCAATTGGTTTCTCTTATTTGGCCTTTAATTTCTACTCTGTTTGTCTACAGAATTGTCACAATTAATGAACAGATACTGGTGTGTTATTATTTACTAAAGTCCCTACTTTATTCAAGTTCCCTCTGCTCCAACTCTTCCTGCTCCAGTGTTGCATACAGGGCACCACGTGACATGTGGTCATGGTGTCTCTTTAGGCTCTCCTTGGCTGGGACAGGCCCTGGGGCTTGTCTTGTTTTGATGGCCTTGGCAGTATTGAGACCAGGTCAAGTATTTGATAGAAAGTCCTGCACTGGGATTTATGGTGTTTTCCTCATGATTAGACTGCAGTTATGGGTTTTGAGGAAGCAGATCACAGAGGTCAAGTCCTCTGTCATCACTTGATACCAGGGGAGCATGCTCTGGAAGCCACTCGCCACTGTCTATGTTAACGACAGTCACC